TGTATCAGTCAGAAGATGCTGCCATTTCTCTCTGGTCATGATGTAGATACTGACTCATTCTTAATTTAGGCAGGGTGACCAGGGTAAGAAGCACCAGATCTTCTGTATCAGCAGGGTCCGTGCCAGATTCATACCTCATTGGCCTTCAACTTTGGGCACTTTAAAAGAGGAATTGGTGTATACGCCATGACTTCAAAATTACTTACTTCCTCATAGCTTTAAATTCACACCATAGAAAATATCTTAGCTTCACATACAGCCAAGAACTGTTGTCTTACCAGCCCATAATTCATGGTTCTTGGAGAAGTAAGAAACATCTATAACAGTATATATTAGGTGTCTTGGACGTACAGAAGGTGCGTTAACCTCACTACTATGTGTGTCATTTTCAAGTAATATGGACATTAACCTTCACTGTGTACTTACCAACAGGCAAGGTAGTGTAAGGTCCCCTTCCTGCTTTTGTAAGTGGTGAGGCTTTGGTATTGCTGTAGTCAAAACCAGTCTGCTGGTAGCGTCCAAGCACTCCGAACAAAATTAAAGATGATTTAGATTGCTTTAGTTGGTCCATATGTCACTTCATTGTGTAGCAATTAGCTGGAATTGAGGTTAACCTGAGGCGGATGGTTTTCCCTTCTGCTATTAACAGAAAGTTAGATTTTTCTCATGCTACTGAAGGTTATTCGGGTTTCTGTTGAATGAGTTCCTGGTCCTGCAGTCAAAACAGAGCGCTTTTCTTCCCAGCTTTCTAGATGGCAGCAATTACTTCTGGGACGAAAGTAGCAGATCCCCTATTACTCTTCTACTATAGCATACAGTCATCAGGATGTGGATCAGCTGAAGCTGTGACCTAAGGCTGTGCTGCTGCCGAAAGAGGTTCCCCTTGCCCACCCGCTCCTGCGCTCCTCCTTACGTTGGCCTGGGGGAGCGGGTGGCCGCGGGATGGATGCCTTGCGGTAGCAGACAATGGAAAACCTTTGGGAGGTCGGAGACCAGGGGCTCCTCCCTTCTGAAGCCAGCAGGGTCTGAGATTGGCTTCAGTATGACTTTACAATTAAGTTCCTCCCACGTGGTTTCAACAGTTCACCTTAACTGGGAAATCAATATGCCTGTTCTTTCAGCTTTTATCATCGTTCACGTCATAGCATGATATTCTTAATTTGTTAACGTATTCAGAGTGCAGGCTGGTTGGTTGGTGTCTGTCTCAAAAAGATTCCATGCTAACTTGACTTAAGACTTACAGACTACACAGTTTTACATTCATTCTTTAATTTTATTGAACAAAATACAATTTTCTTCCCATTTCAGTGGCTTTGTTTTTCTTCGACTGATTTGTCCTGCTATCCTGAACCCAAGGATGTTTAATATCATCTCAGGTGACTATACGCTTCAGACTCGATTCATACTTTATACAGTAGTAGGCATGAAATTACTGTAGTGTCTAATGTAGCAAAATACGAAGTTTTTTTGAACACTGTGTCCAAAGTCGTATTATCCACGTCACTTGACTGACTTCTCCATAAGGCAGCCAACATATGTTTTTCACCCTTAAAGGCTAGATTGTGGTTAATCCCCAATGTCGTTGTAAAGTCCAGAAAAACATCCATTGTGGTATTTAATAATACAGTTTTGAGTTCAAGTCTAGCAATGCGGAATACATTCTGGCAGTGTGAAAATTGTAAGCGTGTGATCTTCAGATGTCACTTTGAATACAATGCAATGCCAAAGTTAATGGCTGAAATTCAATGGTATCTCTTAAATGAGCAAGATTTACGAAGCTGAAAATGTATTCCAAGCTCTGCAGACACATTTGTGCACCTAGGAAATTATGCTTGAATAACCTGTTCAAACGTCCTGCTTAGATAGCTTGGAGAAGTCTTCACTTTGACTGATTTAAGTACAGCCAGTCTCAAATATGGAACCTTAAAAGATGAAGAGAGAGAGGGGTGGCGTTTAGAAAGGTGAGTTGTGCAGACTTGAGATGATCTTAGTTGACTTAAAGGCCATCTATAGGAGAGTTCCCATGGGCTTGCCAAAGCGAATGTTCTCACCGCGTGGTCTTACCCTGTTTTTTGACGCTCTCTTGGTGGAGTGCATCTGTAGTAGTTAACTACAACAGCGGCAGGGAACATTCCTGTTCGCAAGACTGGGACTGCGGAACTGCTGTAGCGGCCTGTGGCACAGTGCTGGCCGGTGTCGGAGAGCGTTCTCCAGAACAGCTCGTGGGGGTGATCGGGATGGCGGCGCACATCAGGGACCGCACCCGACACGCTGTTGGCCTGGGGCTTTCCTGTTGTGAAGCTTTCATGGTGAGGGCATGGATTATCCCATGGCAGTTGCCTTAAGCACCTAGAAATGTTTGTGGGCGTTTTTAACTCAATTTCTGTGGGAGGAAAAAAGGAAAAGCATAAACTACTGAAAACTCTATTACTAAAGTTAAACTATTTGGACGTCTGAGTTGCTTAGTTTTAAAAGTTTGCTTATGTTATACTTCATCTTTGTTTTCTGGGTTTTTCTTGGCAAAGATCACCCCAAGCTAGGGGGCATTTAGTTTGCACCAGCCATTGCTCTTTCTCCTTCCCTCCCTAGCAGTTTCTTGATTTCTTTACCAGTAAAATGCTGATTTGAAATAGGAGGAAATGAGAGATCTGATTCAGAAAAGCTTTTTTTTCTTTATTCATAGACAGTTTCTAAAACAAGGTAGCATGTTTTGTATAATTTCTCTTTAAGAAATGAGAAGGGCTGTGCCAAACAGAAAGCTCCTTTCTCTCACCCAGGGATCATTTCCAAACATGCTTTGGAGAAAGCGTTTGAGAAACATGGCCTGGTACACAGCGGTCCCTTCTTTAGGATTCTGTTATCTTCCGGTAATTTTCAAGTTAGGTACCTCCTAATTTGGGTTGCACTGTGTCTGCAGGTGTAAAAAGTTACCCATAAATTTCAGTAATCCCTTTTAAGCTTGCCTGTCACCGTTAAAGTCCTGCTCATGTACATCCAGCTAATATTCTTGACTACTGCTAAGGTAAACTTACAGACGCCATGTAGGGCTTTTAGAGCTGTTCAAAAAAAGGGATGAGGCAGTCCTTCTTTTGGAGCAAAGCTTCTAACATATCTTCTTCCCATAACAGGGGAAAAAAGTATTCTGAAGGCTGGGTGTACAGGTACGGCTCAGTATCAGCAGCAATCCTATCACCTCAACAACTGTGATTGGAAAAAAAAATCTTTGTTTCAAAAGTTAAATCCTTTTTCTTTTCAAGCGTCTTTGACTTTTTTAAAGTGATTCGCTTCTTTAGATCAGTTTCCTAACCTGAAGTTCCAGATTCCAAGGCTAGTGATGTTTTCCAGCATTGCTGCTTCAAAGGCTTGTATTGCACCAAGCACTAGATATGATGAACAACTGACATCAGTTGCGTAGCTCCAGCTATGCAAGAAAAATGAGAACTTATTTTTCAGTGTATTTTGGAGGGGAAGAAAGAGCAACAAAAGATGCAGGTAGACAGTGAAGAGCATATAGCGTTCTTATGAAGAATTACAAAATTTAGAGCTTATGTAATTACCATGTCAGTTTTGGAGCACTTCAAACGTGGCTTTCAGCCAGGCCATTTACCGTAACTGGAGGGAAAAATAATTTTGTAAGATACTACTGGGCAGTATCACTTGTTGGAAAAGGAAGTTTTAACTGACAAAAGTCGTTAATGTAAAGTGTTAAGTGTAATGCTAAGTACAGCAAGTGACTACAATTTCATGGAAATACAAGCCACAATTGCATGTAATGTTTACTCTGTTTTCCTGATGCCAGTAACTTAAAGTATAATTTGTATAACTTGTCATAGCCCACTAATGTGGGTATACACAAATAAGGAAAAAGGTAAACTTGCCTTTTTTTTTAAATTCTAAAGGTAAACGAATTTTTTTTATTCTAACAACAAATAATCCTCCTTTCAACAGAACTGTTTCATTTTTGTGAAAATGGTTCTTACTTCACCTAACTCTCAACACCACTTTATTTTGCATACCCGTTCTGTATGCAATTACAGAAAATCAGATGTTAGTATTAATATGTTTTTGTGGACACTACTAAGCAACGTAAGTTTCACTTCACCAAGTGACATCTTCCACATGCAGTTTGGTTATAATATTAAAAATACTTTATTCCATGAAAAAATATGAATTGGAGAAGAGCTTTACTTTCACGTGATTGCTGTTAGTTTTAAACAGAATGGCCCGTAACTCTCTACTTTGTATTCCTGCCAGATTCTCCTTCCCCCACTGCTGCAAGAACGCTGACGCTGGTCGCCAAGTCTGTGCAGAATTTAGCAAATCTGGTTGAATTTGGAGCTAAGGTGAATATAATTGTATGCACACAGAACAGCCTAGAACTATGTTTCCAATACATTTCAATGTTCCTGTTTGTCATTGTTTAATCTCAGTCGGCAGCTGAGCACCACGCAGCCGCTCGCTCACTCCCCCCCCTGGTGGGATGGGGGAGAGAATCGGAGGG